TTCTTATCTGAAATATTTTAAATGAAATAGTTTGAGAAAATTTTGTTTTCTCAAAAACAAAACCTGTGATAATATCCCCCTTAATGATGTTTTAATGTTGAATCAGAGAATTAACGATTTAATAAAAAAAACAGTGATGATTTATTTTCTTTTGTCGACTGATTTAATTTTTAACAAATTACAAATGAAAAAAATAAAATAAAATAGAATAAATGGAAGTATCTTGGATCCTTCAAATATCAATATCTCTCATATGGGGCGGCTCGAATAATATATATAAAAAATATAACAAAAACACCCTCCCAACTCTTCAAATTTACAAAATATACCACCACCGTAGAAAACAAATAAGAAAACAAGTTTTTATAATATCGTACAAAAGGGAACGCGACTTGAAAGACATGACCAGAAGCACAACAAGGACGAGTAGACGAGGAGGACGAAGACAAAGAAGAAGAAGAAAAAATCAGTCAAGCAGAGTGAGAAGCTCCTGAGGAGAGAAATCTATCATCTTTATCTCTTTGCTTCCTTTGATCTGATCGGAAAAATCTACAAACCTGAAAGAAGAAAAAAGATTCCTTTTTCAAAAAAAAAAAATTGTTCGAATCTGAAGCAAGTTCTGTCTTCGTTGTTACTACCGAACCAATCTCGAGCTGAGTTTGCATCGATTCGATATGGTTAGACACTTTGGTCGCTAGATTCACTGCAGAGAGGTTCTTTTGATCCAATTCTATTATTGGGCACCTATAAAAATTAGGTCTTTTGAGATGGATGAAGTGGTGGCTGCTCCTATTTTCATTCACCAATCACTTTCTCCGATGGGGAAAAAACGTAATCTTTATCACCAGATGCAATCTCAGCCTCATCCGCAGCGTAGAGACGAGTGGAGCTCTAAGATGTGGGATTGGGATAGCCGGAGATTTGAAGCTAAACCGGTGGAAGCTGAGGTTGTTAGGCTTCAGTTTGATTCAAACGGAGATGAAAAGGGACTTGATTTGAATCTGGGGAGTTGTGTTAACGCAGTGGAGGAGGCAGGTAGACCGAGCAAGAAGGTTCGGTCTGGATCTCCGGGGAACTATCCTGTGTGTCAGGTGGATAATTGTAGTCAAGATTTGTCTCATGGTAAGGATTACCATAGAAGGCATAAAGTGTGTGGAGTTCATAGTAAAGCTACTAAGGCTCTTGTTGGGAAACAGATGCAGAGGTTTTGCCAACAGTGCAGCAGGTAGATTTGTGGAAAAAAATGCTTATCCTTTCTTTGAGTTTTTGGCGGTAAATGAGTTTTTGGCGGTAAATGAGTTTTTTTTTTTTTTAATTTGCAGGTTTCATCTTCTTTCTGAGTTTGATGAAGGGAAAAGAAGTTGTAGGCGTAGATTGGCTGGCCATAACCAACGGAGAAGGAAAACAACGCAGCCTGAGGAGGTTGTAGTTCCGGGGAACCGTGATAGTACCTCTAACGCCAATATGGATCTTATGGCTTTGTTAACCGCATTAGCTTGTGCACAAGGTACTAAGTTTGCGAATATGCAGGGGGAATTCTACTCGAATGTTCTTGTTTTACTAACATGTTTGTGGTTCTGCAGGTAAGAATGAGGTTAGACCTATGGGGTCTTCAGATGTGCCTGAAAGAGAGCAGCTTCTTCAGATACTCAACAAGATAAGTGCATTGCCTTTGTCTATGGATCTTGTTTCTAAGTTGAACAGTATTGGAAGTTTAGCGAGGAAAAACTTGGATCACTCAGGGGTGAACCCTCAAAATGATGTGAACGGGGCTTCTCCTTCTACCATGGATTTGCTTGCTGTTCTTTCGACAACGTTAGGCTCATCTTCACCTGATGCGCTAGCTATATTGTCTCAAGGTGGGTTTGGTGCTAAGGAGAGTGACAAGACTAAGTTACCTTCTTATGACCATGGTGCTACAACCAACTTGGAAAAGAGAAGCAGTAGTAGTAACCAATCTCCTTCTCAGGATTCAGATTCACATGCTGACACTAGGTCGAGCTTGTCCCTACAATTATTCACCTCCTCACCTGAGGATGAGAGTCGACCAGCCATGGCATCCTCGAGAAAGTATTATTCTTCTGCCAGCAGTAACCCTGTTGAGGATAGATCGCCATCTTCATCTCCAGTCATGCAGGAGTTTTTCCCATTGCAGACATCCCCTGAAACCATGAGGTCTAAGAATCACCAAAACACAAGCTCTGCGAGGACTGGGAGTTGCTTGCCTCTTGATCTCTTTGGTGCATCAAATAGAGGAGCTGCAAATACTAATTTTAAAGGATTCGGGCAGCAGTCTGGTTATGCTTCTTCTGGTTCTGACTACTCTCCTCCTAGCCTAAAATCTGATGCTCAGGTTTGCAGCGTGTAAACTCTTCTATAGCATCTCTGTGTAGGTCAAGTAAAACAAGATGCTTATGATTATAATTTTGGATTGCATACAAACAGGACCGCACTGGAAAGATAGTCTTCAAACTACTTGATAAAGATCCGAGTCACCTTCCTGGAACATTACGAACTGAGGTGATAATTTCTGCGCATAATAGCCTTCCTGAATAGAAAGTCATTGTTGCTTATGTTGAATCCTCATAATGATTCTATCTCCTTTTTCTACAGATCTATAACTGGCTTTCGAGTATTCCATCAGAAATGGAGAGTTACATCAGGCCTGGCTGTGTTGTTCTCTCCGTCTATCTGGCGATGTCACCTGCAGCCTGGGAACAAGTGAGTGGAAATATTCAAGTGTTTGTTTATTGAATTATACTATTCCGTGTGCAGCTTAGGAACTGTTGGTTCTTTTTTTCAGCTCGAGCAAAACTTGATGCAACGGGTTGGGGCTATGTTACAAGATTCTCATTCAAGTTTTTGGAGAAACACGAGGTTTATACTTAACACTGGTAGACAACTCGCATCACACAAAAACGGTGAGTGCTGATGAGCTGGTACTTGTAAGTCACGTGTTATGTTTCAGTTGTATGTCAATAATGATCATAACATGTCATTGGTTACAGGTAAAATTCGTTGTAGCAAATCTTGGAGAACTTGGAATTCACCAGAGCTCATCTCAGTGTCACCTGTAGCTGTGGTAGCTGGTGAAGAAACAAGTTTGGTAGTAAGAGGTAGAAGCTTAACTAATGATGGGATCAGGTAAAACTTAGAAGCCTCAACTTTTCATCGTCTTCGGTCTTTTCTTTTCCATATCTGACGTTCATTATGATTGTGCTTTCAGTATACGTTGCACACAGGCGGGTAGCTACGTGGAGATAACCGGGGCAGCCTGTAGACGAGCCATGTTTGAAGAGTTGAGTGTAAATAGTTTCAAAGTTAAAAATGCACAACCTGGTTTTCTTGGACGGTGTTTCATTGAGGTGTGACTTCATAACTCAACTTAATAGCTTTCTTTTGTCAATCTAGAGATGTTTAACGTCTGCATTGTGTACAGGTGGAGAATGGTTTTAGAGGAGACAGTTTCCCCTTGATAATTGCCAATGCATCCATTTGCAAAGAGTTAAATCGCTTGGAAGAAGAGTTTCACCCCAAAACTCAAGATATGTCAGAAGAACAAGCTCAGACCTCAGATCATTGTCCCACACCAAGAGAAGAGATTTTGTGCTTCTTGAACGAGCTTGGTTGGCTCTTCCAGAAGAACCAGATCTCTGAGCCTAGAGAACAATCTGACTTCTCCCTGTCCCGCTTCAAGTTCTTGCTCGTCTGTTCAGTTGAAAGAGACTACTGTACTCTCATCAGAACACTCCTTGACATGTTGGTAAAGAGAAACTTAGTGAATGATGAGCTGAACAGAGAAGCATTAGATATGCTGGCAGAGATCCAGTTGTTGAACCGTGCGGTTAAGAGGAAAAGCACAAACATGGTTGAACTACTCATTCATTACTCTGTTAACCCCATGCCGCTTGGTTCCTCTAAAAAGTTCGTTTTCTTACCCAATATAACCGGACCTGGAGGTATCACACCTCTACATTTAGCTGCATGTACATCTGGTTCTGATGAAATAGTTGATCTTCTCACCAATGATCCACAAGAGGTAGCTTTCTATCTTTATCTGTCTTTCATGGAAGTTAAACAATCCTTATAACTTAAAAACACTTTGTTATTATATCAGATGGGTCTTTCGAGCTGGAACTCTCTCTGTGACGCAACAGGGCAAACTCCATATAGCTACGCTGCAATGAGGAACAACCATACATATAACTCCTTGGTGGCTCGTAAACTTGCAGACAAGAGAAACAAGCAAGTCTCACTAAACATCGAGATTGTTGATCAGTTGGGTCAAAGCGGGAGATTAAGTTCAGAGAAGAACAAGTTATCATCATCATGTGGTACGTGTGCAACGGTGGCTTTGAAGTATAGGAGGAAAGCCTCAGGCTCGCATCGTTTCTTCCCAACTCCTATCATTCACTCAATGCTTGCTGTTGCGACTGTGTGCGTTTGCGTCTGCGTTTTCATGCATGCTTTCCCAATGGTCAGACTAGGGTCTCACTTCAGTTGGGGTGGTTTGGATTTTGGTTCCATCTAGACAGGAAAGTAAATTATAAATTATTCTTTTGGTTTTCAACAAAATAAAAATAAGAGCCAAGGACAAAGGAAAGCTCAGAGAGACTTGACAACGATCATGTGCTCGGATCAAAAAGCAGAGGAGAGTTACACCGTCGACAGTTTTCTTCTTCTTTTTGGTTGGCTAATTTATTGTGTATTTTTGTACTTTTGATTATAATTATTTTGACTAATATAATAATAACCCTTCATATACGAAGCAGTTAGTTTTCTGGGTCTTTGTACGTTGTACAAGTTGTCCATGTTATTATTAAAGATTATTAAAGGTCTAACTGGTGACCAAGGAATGAAAGGGAAAAATGCATTCCTTATCATTCTTAATTTGTTTTATCATTTATAAGGATTAATTTTTTTTTCCTATTCCTTTCCATTCCTTGTATTTTAGTGGAATATAGAACAAATTTATTCTTCACCAAAATTGATAAGGAATAATTTTCCTTTTCATTCCTATAATTTTATTCCTCTACGTTTTTTTCCTATTCATTCCTAATGTTTCTATGATGGTCACCAGTTAGACCCTAAGTTGTAACTAAGTGTATTATCTGCAGACTTAAGAAAGTGGCATAACTAAAAGTACAAATAGGCATATATATAAACTTGACAGGCAAATATCTGGGGAAATAATATTAACACACTATCCTTAGAGTATCTTGATGAATGATGATTCTCTACATTACCATTTAAAAACATATGTAACAGTACAAGGAACAAGATCGGTGGAAAGCGCGCAAGAGAGGGGGAAGCAATGACAGATTGAGAATAGTAATCTTGTCAAAGTGAGCCAAAGGCCATGACAGATTTAACGATTCCCACGTGGATTGTCAGAGGTTCTGAAATATCACAAGTCAGTGGTCACTATATACTTTGGGTCACCACTCATAAGTGAATGATTCTTGATATTAGTATGGTTCCGTTTTTGGGTTATTGATAGATTGATTTTAATTATATTATTGGTTGATCAATTCTTTATTAGTTTCTTAGCAGAACATGTTTTTAACGTAGTCAATAAAGAAAAATAAACGACAGATAAAATCTACAATTGCCCTGCATGTCGCTGAAACAATGCGTGTGTTTTTGTAATGCAATTTTGTTAGGTTAGTAGTGTATTTTTTAGCGTTAAGTTGGATATATATTATATATACAAAACTGGGAACATGTTATACATTTAACCCCACAATGGGAGTTGCAGCTGAGGTGCCTCTTTTCCCAAGATGCTATTAGCTTTTTGCCTTTATTTCTATGTCTCGTTATGTACCTAACATAATAAAAGACTAATAAGATTATACACACACTTTTCATATTTTCAAAATACACCAAAAAGCTTATATGCGTTTGGTTAATTAGTTTAGTTACAATGTATTCAATTAAGCATCTACACGTGAAACGCAAGATATTCTACTTCTAATTCTTGAATAATTGATGGCTGAACAGCACGCAAACAGTATACATTAACATTACTTATATATATCCAAATCCCAAATACAAACTAATTCAACATTACATATTCTTTATCACTTTACCCCCCAAATCTAATCAAAATTAATATGCCCTCTCACCCAACCCAATAAACATCAACATTGCTACATGGACTTATCAATCAACACATAGAAGCAATACAATCATGTCCATATACATATAACCACACTTTACTTAGTTATCCCAAAAATTCTACAATTAACCTCCTTTGACACGTGGACTTACCCCAGTAACACCTCCACTACCTCCTCCGCGGCCTCCACCACCACCACCGCCTCTACTTACACCGTCCAAAATGGCTTCACCAACACCTTCACCAAGACCTTCCATCATACCACCAAGAAAATCAATCACAACCTGCGACGCCAGCCTCGCCGCCGTGCCCAAAACCGCCGGAGACCTATCCCTCCCTTTGTGTCCGTTTGCACGGAGGCCATTCACGGCTGCGTCCTTGGCACAGATGGCGTGCAAGTGGTAATCGCAAACGGTGCAACGGTACACCCTCCCAACTCGTTTACCTCTCTTGCACTCTCCGCAGAGGAACCCGCCGGTTGTGTTGGCTGAGGAGGAGGAGGAGGAGGAGGAGGGGAGGAGTTGGAGAGGGTGGTGATGGAGAGAGGAAGATGAGATGGAAGGAGATAACATGGCGCAGCCAGGATGCATCTGGAAACTGCAAGCTTTGCATCTATATGTGTAACCTTTAGGTGATCTTCCACACACGTCGCATTTTGATTTCATTATTCCTCCTTTCCCTGTTATACATCATTAAAAAATAAACACTAATCAGCAATATATTATCCTCGAAACTAACATACTAACGTGAGACTTATAATTATCTTACTAGTATACGGTTAATGGCATACTTTAAAATCATGGTGTCAAGCAAAAACATTCACCGAAATAGATGTTTAGTCATTGCGTTGTTCAGTTATATCTAATGAAAATTTTAAATACTATTAGCTACGTGACTCAATTTTTACTCCACAACTATTGTTTTTTTTTTAAGTTCAATTATTAGGACTTTACAATCTTTTAGATAGCTTATTTTGTTGCTGGTCAAAATAGCCAAATTTAATTCATAATGTTGATGCCCACTACCTATATTTATTTTGTGTAAAGTAAAACATTATTATTCTATGTAAAGAAACTAATTAATATATAGTCTATAATCAGGGTTTCTTTATAGTGCTGTGAGTGTCTAGTGGTTGGTCTGAAAAACAAACAAAACGAATACAAGATTGCATCAACACTGAAGAAAATAAAACCTACCAAGTCAAGCTATTTTCCAGAATTACCCCTCGATTTATTCAAAAGGTTCCGACAAATAAAGAGCATCTGAATTCTGAAGAGGAGACAAGTAAAAGAAGCGTACCAGGTTTGGCAAAGAAGAGAAGCTGATGCTGGTAATGAAAAGGATGCGACTTGAGTAAAGGAGGAGCCAAAGCACAAAACTCATGGAGCTGATAATCACACTCTTGGCACACGTACCTAATCCCTGCTCCTTCTTCTTTGCACCCTGCACACGTGTAGATATCCGGCAATTCAACTTTGACAAGCACGTGTTGTGGATGTCCGAAATGGACCATCTCTTCTCCTTGTATCAGTTGAGGAGATACCGGGAACTCTACTGACCGTGGTCGCCGTGGTTTGCTGTTAAGATCAGGAGTATGTACCTCAGCGTTTGCGTTTGCGTTTGCGTTTGAAGCAGAACGTCTCATAGCTACCGCAGCGGCAGCGACAGTGGAAATATTGTTTCCGGAGTTGGAATTTATGGTTATGGATTTGCTTCTGATCATTCTTGTTTTAAAAAAAAATGCTATATGAGGTTGTGGTGGAAGTTATGATTTATTAGGGTTTATGCGTTTGTTTTTGTTTGCATGGTGTGCAACTTTTAGTGGTGAATTTCTGTGATTTATTTTCTCAGTTGGAGTGGTGAAGTTAAAGAGGTGGAGGTGAGGGTTTATTTATGGTCGAAAAATTATTGGATACTGTTTTAACTACATAGACAGGTATTTTCGAGAGAGAAGTGTATGGTTTGCTTTTAGGGTTTCTAGAAAGAAAGGAAGATGCTTCGTGGACTTATTGGTCAGTAATTGGATGTGCGTTATACGTTAAGATTTAAACTAAATAATGATCGAGTATTAATGTCTTTTTTAAAACCTTATACTATGTCTATTTTCAAAACATTATATATAGTTACCATGATATGCCCAAAACATATAAATAACAGTGTTATTTTTCAATTAAAATATAATCACACCTTCAAAATTTCTTTCTCGATTGGACCTTAACACCATTTGTTAATGTATGAAACTAAGTCTCCGGTAGTTGGAGAAGTAATTGAGTAATATAAAAAGGGTTATGGCCAATCCACTTATCACCAATTGGTTTTAAGTTGGAAACCCATAATAAACCCAAAGTTAACACTATCTGACAACAACCCTTACGGAATCATTTTACTCGTTGAAATTTTGGTTTGTTCACCCACTAAACATTTTATGTTGAGTGTGTGCACAGAAGCAAGAGAAAGATAAAGGTTCGAAATATAATAGTTGGCTTTTTTTTTGAAATCACATAACGAGAAATGCTTATTTCCCTACCAAATCCGACATTGGAATATATCACAGAAAGTATTGTTCCCCGTTTTACCTCCAATTCTTCGCGAGATCATACAAGCAAGTATAGTGATAGTTTCCAAGCAAGCAAACCCAAAAGATCAGTTATAGAACTAATTTCTTATGTGTTAAAAAAAAGAACTAATTTCTTATAATAACCAATTCAAAAAGTAGTACTTTTGTTCAATGTTTTACTGGTCGATTTACGAAAAAGTGTTTTTGCTTAAACATGTTAGAGAGATGCCCAAATGAAAGTCATGGTCATTCTATATGATATAATTCAAAATACAATTATGGTTGGTTGTTATAAACGTTAAGAATTTTATAGAAACGCTGTTCAGATTCACGATTTGTTAATTAAATTTTGTGAGAATACATAAGGATTTCATCTTGCATGGATCAATAAAATATAGAAAACAATTCTCAATAACTTGCATGTACATGAGCAACATTTAACACCACACCCAGATCATACATATTGGATCCAGAGTTGGGAATAAGTAATATTCTTCCCTACGAGAAGCTTCTCAGAACGTACATGCTACTGAAGTTGAGAAAAACTCACCGTTCTTTACTACACTTTTGAAAATATTTGTAAAAATATTTTCAACCATTTCATGTAAAAGGAAAGAATATATCATAAAATACAAACAACTTTCAGCTATGTATGCGCTGTAAGGGAAGGAGAAGGCATCAAAGAACAACAGAGGACTGACACCATAATATAAGATTCTCACTCAATTAAAAGTCTATAAAACACATCAAAGCTTGGGTACAAGTCTTGATTTTAGCCAATTGTTTCACTTTGTTCAATTTCACAAGTTATTCCACTGTCATTTCATCTCCGGATTTATAATTAATTTTTAGACGAAAATAAAACGTCTATAGTTAACATAGAGAAGCGAATAAAAGAATTTTTAGCCATAATAATAGTAGTTTTCTCTTTATTCTCATACATTGTCAAGGATAAATACTTTAATTTCCTCATGATCATACGAATATTCTCTAGTCTCTGCAAAATGATATGAATAGGGGCATTTCGGTTTTCTTTTCTTCGGTTTAGTTTCAGATACTTTACTTTTATTATATTTAAGCTTCTATTGAGGCTACTTCGGTTATAATTCGGCTCAGTTTGTGTTTTATCTTATAGATTGAGGACAATGTCTGAAATTTTTATATAGGCATGCTTGTTTCTTCAGCCGGATGTGGTAAATTATGGTTAAGATTCTTAGGTTATAAGTCCTGATCGTAATGCCATATCTGATCATAAAAAATATTTTCATTAAACTGATTTTTTTAGATAAGGGGAGTCCATTTATTAAGTAAGAGCATTTCGAACTCAAATCTTCAAATTTTAAGATTTTTTGTTATTTAAATCTAATCTTAAATTTGAGGTTTCACTAATTAAGACCTAAAAACTATTTTGTATATCCGTTTTGGTCTTTATAATTATTATTTTTTCATAAATCCATATACTAATTAAACTTAATTTAAAATCACTTAAGTACACCAAAATAAACTAAAATATAATTATTATTACATAACATTAAAAAAAAATTCACACAACAGAAAATACATTAGATAAAGTTCACACAAAATAAAAAATGCATTAAAAACTTAGCACAAATTAAAAAAAAATTACATAAAGGAATATTACAAAATAATACTTGAATTTGGTATTTCATAAGTAACTTTCTAAAATTTGAGTGTATGTGTATTATTTTATTATATATGTAATTTATATTATCTTTTATTACAAGATATTATAATATTGTGTGTTCTATAATATATTAAATATATATTTATATGTATTTGTGAAGTTTTATTTTTATTAGTAAAATTTTTAATGTCAATAATTATAATTTAAATAAATAAACTTTTAACATTTTTTTAAAGATTTATGGTTGGAGTAATCCAATCTCAAATCTTCATTTTGAAGTTTTTGCTTCCTTTAAAATAATGTTTTGGGTTGGAGAAGTTCTAAGGTGTTAAACGTATTAATATAACTTGTATATAGATTCTATATAGATTAGAATAAAATTAAAAATGTTCTTTTTACTTGTTTCGTTCAATAAATTGTATTGTGCATATTTGATTTCTAATGATGACGGGTGACAAATGATGACGCGTGACAAATATATATAGGGCAATCCACTAGACTACATGCCGATCATGTAAATAGTATGTTTAGAGGGGGAATTATGGATTATTTAAGGGTTTAGTTTGGCTATGTTGAATGACTTGATTCGATTCACTAGAATTATAGTTGATGCTATTTTCTGATATTTTTAACATAATAATGATTTTTCACGTAAATAAAGCTTGTAACAGAGATTGGTGTTCGGATATCTGTGTGAATTTTAAATGGATATTTTGGATTTCCGGCTATTATGGTGTGGTGGTTTAGTATCCGTTTAGGTATTTCTATGCTTCAAGTCAAATTTAGATATTTTTTAGTTTGGATTCGGTTATTTTGGATCGGATTCGAATATTTAGCTTTTCAAAAAAAAAAAAACTATTAATTATTTAAATTTCTTGTATTTAAAAATATACTTTAACTTAACTGATTTTTAATTTTTAATACGATGATTGATAGGTTTGGAAACACAATTTTAGAAACAGAAATACACTAACTTGATTTTTTTTTTAATTTTAGATGAAACTTTTGTTAATGCAAGAAATAAGAACTTGACATACATTTTAGAAATACTAGCAGCATAACCCCCGCGCAAGCGCGGAGCCAGGATCTGTGTTTTTTTCGGTTGTTGGTTTAGTGGGTTATTCTAATAATACCAAATAATGATGAAATGGAAAGAATGTAGCAAGAATTCAAAGTGAAAATATTGTATATATAATGTGTTAAATATTATTTATATGCGAAATAAGTTATAGGAATAACTAAATTATAATATAGTTTTTAGTGTATACAAATAGATGTCTATATTGTTTTTTTTTATGTTGGAAATAGTTTTTATATCGGATGTCAAAACTTGATATAAATATTTATTTATAGTATTTATATTTATACTAAACGATTTATCAATTTGAAAATAACTTTAATTTAAGCTAATATTTGTTGTTTGGGTTTCAATAGATAGGTTTGGATATGTTTTTTTGTAAGTTTGGATTTTATTCATAAATAATGTGGTATTTTTCTTTACGGCGTCATCGACTATGGAAATCCATCCGCCGAAGTCTGATAAAAATGAAATTATAGTAACTATTAAAAATTGAAGAGAAATTACATAGTTATTTTATAAATAACAAAACTATTTTTTTATTTTATTTCACATACATAATTTTTTGAAAATATATAATAGGAAATATGTTCTAACAGTAAAAATATATATTAGGACATGATAGTGTCGCGTGAAACTCGTTTTTTTCTTTTTGTTGGATGTTCGTTTTTTGATCCATTTTTAATTGTTTTTGGGTTTGAGTTCGTCAAACTTTAGGATTTTCCACTATTTTGGGCTTTAAACAATAAGTCCAGAGGAAAAAAAACATTAAAACATCAAACTAAAAAGCCCATATGATAATAATCCAAACGAAAAAACTAAAATACATAACAGCTGTGTGGTTTGAACCCACAGACTTGCAGACTTATTTAGATGTCTTATACCACTTTGCTAAAAGTGTATTCATTGTTTATAGTCATTTTAAAAAAACTATAAACTTTTAAAATTTAAATATGTGGAACCCACTCGGCTGCTGACGTGGATAGCCTTAGGAGCTTCAAAAGTGAATCATTATTATATAGATTTTCTATGTGAGTAGTATCACTTTGTTCGAAATTATATATATATATATATATATATATCATTATGATCTTAAGTAATGTGTAACATCAATATAAATATTTTTGAAAAATAAGAGAATTAGACTTAAAAATGTATTGTTAATCATACATATGTTTGTTTATTTTTGGATATTCAATTTTGGATATCAACCATTAAAATTTTGATATCTAAATTTTCTTAAGTCAATATCCGAACTATATCCATTGGGATATTTTACTATTTTGGTTTGGACTTTTTTGAGTCTGAATAGGTTCAGGTAAGGATTTGGGTATAGGGTAAAGTGTCCGGCCCCTGGCTTGTACTGTTGTTACTCGGTTGACAAAAAATAAAGCTTGTAGTATTCTCAAGTCCATGTAGATTCAGATAAATCAAACTGCCCTTTGAAAATGTAGTCGAGGCAGGCTTACTAGTTCTACAATTAACTAGGCTTGTAGCAAAGCCCACAATAATAATAATTTATACTACTGGGTTGCTTTTGGCCCGTATGAAAATG